ATATAACAACAACAGTTCTTTGTAGACTGAAGTTTCTGAAATGGAAATTGGGCCCATGAAGCCATGCTGCCATGCTCCTTAAAACCTGTAAATACCTGAGTAATTCTTCTTCTAGGTATTTAAATAACATCAATCAGTCTTTAGTATGACATTCAAAATTTTCATCATCTCTCTCATAACTGTCTCTCAATTAATATTCATTACATACTGAACTCACCTGTACCTTGCCCTGAGCTTTCACTAGATTTCTAACTCTCCTGATTTCTGTAGTCTTTGAATATCTATATAAATACTACTTAACCCCATTTCTCATTTGTCCTATGAAGGCCAGTAACCTCCTCTCCAGGTTCTAGGCATGGCCAAGTGTGATATCTCAATGGCAGGTTAGTTTTAATTATTGTATAACTGAGTAACTTGAGTTACCTTTGATGCCTCACTAGACAATATACAGATTGAAAATTATTTCTGTTTCAATTTTTAAGCCATGAAAGCCTAGGATTCAATAAAAGTTTATTAATTGTGGTGGTTATGTATTTTTAAAAAAATGTTTTGCAAAAAAGGTATCATAATTTTACTTATGCAAAATTGGACAAATCCCAATTATATATTTAATATGTTTTACAGCCTTCAGTTTGGAAACCTGCAGAATTATGATTGCCATGCTGGATGTATCCTTGAATTAAAACAGAAAATACTAGGATAGAGAATTTCTTTCTTAATATTAAACCTACTGTTATTTACTAAAAACCAAAGTAAACTGAAGCACTTAAAAATATTTGTTATGTCCTGCTTGAATTCCTTACCTTTATATTTTCACATTGAGTTCTATTTGCCTGATATATTTAGCAAATTCTGTGGAAATGCTAAATTTTTGGTTGGTGATTTTGAGTTTTAGGCCACTTTCATTTTCTTTAGCATCAAAACTTATTTTTTTTAATAAACTACCAGAGGGACTACACAGGAAAAATGGGATTTACTGAATTCAAAGAACTTTGGGCAGCTCTTAGTGCCTGGAAACAAAACTTCATGGCTATTGACCAAGACCAGAGTGGCACAGTAGAGCGTCATGAACTGAGTCAAGCCATCGCAACTATGGGTAAGAATATGAAAATACTTCAGAACCGATTCTGCTTAGCTGTCTTCTTTGAGAAGATGAATATTCATTGCTTAGGTTTGCTAAGGAGCCCTCATGGCACAGTGTGTAACATATCAGAATGCTAACTGAATGAAAAGTTAGCAGTTCCAGTCTACTATTTCTCCATGGGCAAAAGAAGGACAGTCTTCTGTAAAGATTTTCAGCCGGGGAAGCCCAGGGGAAGGTGACTAAAAGTCAGAACCAACTCCATGGCGTTGGTTGGGTTTAGCTTGCTAAATAATAAAGCCATATTTTATCTTAACCTATTTTCCCTAGCTTCTTTTCAAGAATGTAGATAAACTGTGACTAAAAATCTTTAAACAAAATTATTTAAACATGACATTTTTCAAAAGATGATATTCCATATATATTGGTCTTTTTTATAATTTCTGAATTTTCTCTGTTGATTAATTTTTTGCCTCTAATGGTTCATGTTGAATTATGAGTTGATTGTTGTTGTTGTGTACTGTTGAGTCGAAGCTGACTCGTAGTTGACCCTAGAGCTGGTTTTCAGAGATAGTAAATTATGCAGCAGGAGATTGACCATTTTTCTTCTGCAGATCCCCTGATGGGTTCGAACCACTTGTCTTTGGGATGGCAGCTCCTTCCCAACAGGCCCTCAGAGGTCTTGGAAGTTGATAGGGTCTCTCATTTGAGAGGAACACTTACCTCAATCAATCACAAGTCTCTCTGTTATTGTCTAGCTTTGCAGCAGTAAAAAATCATGTGTCTGTTTGGTTTTGTTCTTTTTTTTAAAAAAAAACTAACCAAAAATGAAAACCTCTAAAAAGTTCACATAAGAGATTAAAGCAGAAAGAAAAAGAGGTATCCTGTATTTTTCCAATTAAGATCTTCAAATAACGTTAAAATATTTCAATTATTGTGCTGTGAATACTATGAAAAATTCTTTATCACTAACTTTATCAGTATCATATTTAGATCATAAGCATCTAGTTGTGTGCTTTCAGGTAGGAACAGACTCTCCAGCATGTTTACAGAGACAGTAAAATGCACCAGAGAATATTGCCCATCCTTCTCCCACAGAGCAGGTAGTGGCTTAGGTGTCCCTTTGGGATTATAGCACAGCTTCTTTCCACTAGGTCATTAGTGTTCCCTAACTAGCTAGTTGTTGTTGTTATATACTGTCGTGTCGCCCACAACTCATAGCGACCCTGTGTACAACAGTCCTAAATCTTGCTCTATTCTGTGCCAATCTTATTGTCTTTGGCACACCTACCCCCATCACCCCAGTCACTGAATCAATCCATCGAGAGTCTTCCTCTCCTGCACTGTCCTTCCACCCTCCCAAGCATGACATCATCTCCAAGGACTGGTCCCTCCATGCAGCATGTCCAAAGTATGTCAGATGAAGCTTTAGAATCTTGCCTCCAAGGAGGAGCCTGGTCTCACCCTCTTTAGGGAGAACCTGCTTGCTCTCCTATCACTCCATGGTATATTCAATACTCTTTTAGCAGGAACTCAAAATGTATTTATGGATTATAATTACATTAAGTTTCTTGTTTAATTATAAATTATTTCAATCTATCCCCTTAAATTAATTTTACTGTTATAAAGTTTTTTAAGTTTTATTATAACTGAGCAAAGAATTTTTTTTACTGTATTTATTTTCATTATTTGGATGAATTATTGTCATTTTATTCCAACATAATACAGAATTTTAAGCCAACATTTTTAGCATATATATTACCTGTGACTAACCTGTTCTACGGACATGTCTATGTTGTTGTGTACCATTGAGTCAGAAAGCCTCCAGCAGATTTTCAGACACAGTTAATCACACAGGAAGAGATTGCCCATATATCTTAATAAATGCTTAAGAGAGTTTGTAAAGGTGCATCAAGCAGAGTATACTACTCTATAAATTTCAGCATTTAAATATATCTTAAAATATAAATAATAAAGCATTAATATAGGCTCTGGTGGTCTAGTGGTACGAAGCTGTGCTGACATCCCAAAGGCAAATGATTCGAATCCACCAGCAGCTCTGTGGGTGAAGGGTGGGCAGTCTTCTTTGCAATTTACTGCTGCCACTGGAGGCTCAGCTGTGGGTCGGTCCCAACTCAAGGGCATATCAATTATTTTTGTAGACTTTCAAAACAAAATCGATAAACATTAATGGAAATCATTGCTTAAAAATATTTTACCATTAGAAATTGTTGTTGTTCAGTGCCATTGAGTCGTGGGTACCTCATAGTGACCCTATGAACGAAAGACGTGAATGCTTGTATAAATTCCTTCCTTTCTCCAGGTTCATAGGGTTTCCAGAGGCAAGCTATTTTGGAAGTAGATGCCACTTCTGCTTCCAACTTGTTTTAACCGGGGAGCTCCACCAAACACTGTCCACCATGGGTTACCATTATCACATTTGACGTATCAGTGTCACATTAGAAGTTGTTGTTGTTGTTATGTGCCGTCGAGTCGTTTGCAACTAATAGCGACCCTATGACAACAGCCCTAAATCCTGCTCTATCCTGTGCCAACCGCACTGCCTCTGACACACCCATCACGATTACCCCAGTCACCGAGTCAATCCATCTCA